CTCAGGGAACTGGGGATGTTTATCCTGGAGAAGAGGAGGCTGAGGGGAGACCTTATCGCTGTCTACAACTGCCTGAGAGGAGGGTGCGGAGACGTGGGGGTTGGTCTCTTCTCCCAAGTGACAGGATGAGAGGAAACAATCTGAAGTTGCACCAGGGGAGGTTTAGATTGGATATTAGGAAAAATTTCTTCACTGAAAGGGCTGTCAGGCATTGGAACGGGCTGCCCAGGGAGGGGGTTGAGTCACCATCCTGGAGGGATTTAAAAGACATGTGGACAAGGTGCTCAGGAACACGATTTAGTGGTGGCATTAGCAGTGTGAGGTTAAAGGTTGGACTCGATGATCTTACAGGTCTTTTTCCAACCTAAAATATTCTATTCTATGATTCCATTCTAGGCAGAGCAGGACTACTTAAATCAGTTTCTTCTACGCTGCAAAGACATACTACGTAACTTCCTGCACTTTCTTTAGTTCTCTACACCGAGCCTTAGAGGTCATGCCCAGACTGGTCATAACACTCCTCAGCAGAGGTCCTGTCCCCATCAGGAAGATAAATTACCTCAAATGACTTGCAAAATCTTACTGATAGCGGTACACTCCAGGATGACATTTCCTCCCTTGCCTCTGTATCACACAGCTGACACACCTTGTTCCACTACAAACCTCAGGTACATACCCATGGTATTGCTGCCCTGCTATTGATCCCTCTTTCCTAGTATGTTGTTTGAAGCATTTTTTTTTAATTGAATTGTTCTAAAACCACTTCTGAATTCATGCACTGGCCTCCACACCATCTACAGTCCTCCCAGGGCAGTAAATATGGTTCCATAAAAGTATGTAGCATGTGAGTGAAGGTCAGGGTCTGCTAAGATCCCGCTTGGAAAGCCAAATTTTATGTGGTTTTGTGTTACTTTTCCCCCAGACTCCACTCTCTCAGGATCTCACCGACCTTCATTAACTGTTTGTAACAGCCTTAAAACAGATGGCTGCAGCTGGTTTGGTAGCAAACATCTGCCAAAACCTAGCAGCTGCCACAGTTATGGCACTGGCACAGAAAGGAGGACGGCGGTGCCATTATTTCTTTGCCAAAGATTACTGCCAGCACGTGTCATGGGGAAGGAAAGGGAGGGGTTTTCCCATTTGAATTCTAACGGCTTTACGCAAACCAACCGTCTAAAACGCCACTGGAACTTAAAGTGTTCTCAGTGTTTTATCTCCACAGCCGCCTATCACCCTTTCCTGCAAAAACTACCCAACAGCAACGGAACTCTCTGTTGTTGCTCATCGTCAGAGAAACAAGATGCAAGCCTTATTCCCTTCAAAGTTGGGGGAAAAAGAAGGGTGGGGTGTTTTTTTCCTTTTACTGTTTAGCAGCTGTTATTTTTAGAAATATGCACCTAATAATTGATATTAAAAGCTGTCTCACCTGTATATTTTCCTCCCTGTCAGGCATTGGCCCAAAGTGCTGAAGAATTTGAGTACGAAATTTGTTTCTTAAGTTTTGGAACCAACTGCAGGCCTGATTGTAAACAAAATTGTGAAGTTCTCTCAGTTTCCTCAGTTCTTGTTCATCAGCAACCTATGGGAGGAATGTTATGAAAGTATCATTAAACAATGACTATTTGTGTTTAAAAACACATTCAGTTTCAACTGTATTTAGATGCATTTCTTGCATTCTCCTACCCAAACGTTGATTGCTAATGAATGAATAGTAAAGTCCCTCACTCTAAGAAGGACATAGAGATGCTGGAGCATGTCTTCCTCAGAGAAGGGCAACAGAGCTGGGGAAGGGTCTGGAGAACAAGCCTGATGAGGAGCGCATGAGGGAGCTGGGGGTGTTCAGCCTGGAGAAGAGGAGGCTCAGGGGAGACCGTATTGCTCTCTACAGCTACCTGAAAGGAGGTTGTAGAGGTGGGTGTTGGTCTATTTTCCCAGGTAATTGGTGATAGGACAAGAGGAAACAGCATCAAGTTGTGCCAGACAAAATTTAGATTAGATATTAGGAAAAACTTCTTCACTGAAAGAGTAGTCAGGCATTGGAACGGGCTGCCCCGGGAAGTGGTGGAGTCACCATCCCTGGAGGTGTTCAAGGAACGTGTAGATGTGGTGCTTGAGGACATGGTCTAGTGGGTACAGTAGTGTTGGGCTGATGGTTGGACTGGATGATCTTATAGGTCTTTTCCAACCTTAGCAATTCCATGAAGTCCAGTGATATTTTAAAAAATTACAGCTTCAAACTATTGTTCAGGAAAACCCTCACTGTTTCTTTGATGCTTTATAATAATAGCAGGGAGGTTTAGATTAGATATCAGGAAGAAGTTCTTCCCGGAGAGGGTGGTGAGGCACTGGGACAGGTTGCCCAGAGAAGCTGTGGATGCCCCATCCCTGGAAGTGTTCAAGGCCAGGCTGGATGAGGCTTGGAGCAACCTGGTCTAGTGGAAGGTGTCCCTGCCCATGGCAGGGCGTTGGAACTGGATGGTCTTTAAGGCCCCTTCCAACCCAAACTATTCTATGATTCTATGGTTAATAATAAAAAGTGAGCTAGCTTCCATTTCTTCCACATACTGGCACTAAATCTTCCAGTTGTCTAAAGATGTTAAAGTTTGAAATGGAGCAGAAATCTTGAACTATTAATACTAGTGAGTATTTAGATAGCATTCTGGATACCTTAACATCCTCCAAATATTCGATGTCTGCAGTGCAATAACCATCCTTCATCCCTCTCCGTAAAACTCTAAATCTCTTTCCACCCACTGTATCAACAACCGACCGTCCATCAGGCAGAAAATGAACGTTCCTAATTTGCAGCATGCACCCGTAATCTGCAAAACTAGAAAAAAAAAGACCTTGTCAGTACTGTAATTACACACTTCTGAAACGGCATTTTTTTTATAATTAAGAAAAAAAGACATAAAAGACGAGGAGCTCAGAATCGGATGTAAACCTACCCATTTTGAGAATCGCTGATACACATCCCAAACTGTTTAGTCCCAGTTTCCATACTTCTGCGAATCATGAGTCGGTATCTTGGCTCAAACACGTGTAGAGGGCAAGGCACAGTAGGATATGCCATAGTGCAAACGAACATTGGAACATTCTTGGTCAAGCTTCAAGAGAACATCAAAAGAAATATGTGGCTTAAAAACCTCATCAGTCAACTATGCCAAGACTTTTTTTTTCAGCATGTGGGCTATATCTGAGGTCATAAAGCACTCTTTTCAAGGTTTAACAATAAGCACACTGCAGTAACTTTCATAAACAATCAAAACACGTAGTGACAACAGTGACTGAAAACCTACATTCTGATTTGCATATATACTGACAGTAAACCTGAGTTATCTAGGTCGTGACCATCTCACCAGTGAGTGAAGGGTTTTTGTGGGGACAGGGGTGTTATTTTTTCCCTTTAAGTTTAAGCCATACAAGCCATTACGGCCTCAGAGTGACAGTTTACCTGAAACTAAAAAGATGTAGCAGTAACTACACTGTACCTACATCACCATTTCGATTATTTTCGGTGATGGACTCCAGATAGCAAAGATGCAACCCAGGGTATAACACAGTACGCCCAAGTAGGCCTAATATAAAGAACTAAATGTTTTTAAATACTATTTTGTCAAGTGTGTATCAAGTTGATAAAAACACGTTAGCATTAAAACATAACCAGCTATTTAATTTTAATACTTTTCAGGCTATAAAGCACAATTCTAATTTATGGATTGTTACGTTCATTGCATAAGCTATAGTTTTAGGTTTTCAACATTCATATCTACAACACACAGCACTTTATATATCTGAAGAACTCTAGAGATAAACATCAAGACAGCAAAAAAAACCCAACCCCAAAAATTTCTTTTCATCACATCTCCCTTTATACAATTAGTGTCTATCACAAAAGGCTTTGACAGAAATTAAAATATCCGAGGACAATTCCATTAAGAGCAGCAAAACTAAACCCAAAGCTCCACGACAGTGCACACACACAGAGAAACCAAAGGACAAACATATTTTGTAGAGGACTCAAGAGCCTCACATTGCTACTGTCAGAGCGTCATGTTTTTTATTCCCACCCTAGTTAAAAAAACTTTTCGTTTTCTGAAATACACACTTAAGACCCTAAATTAACATGTTTTTGTACTCCTCCTTCCATCCGTAACATGCCATTATTAGAAATCTCAAAAATAATAAAAGCACTTCTAAAAAGGATTTCCATACTAGTCTCTCCAAGTTTCTAGACAAGACAGCAAGCTTACTTTGAGTGTTCAGCAGTTTCTTCAGCGTGAATTCTCTTCCTCTCATATAATTCATCAGCCAAATATTTCATTATTAATTTCTCCAGCAGTTCTGTGATGCTGTATTTTCTACTTGCAAGGTACTGTAAAGCAATTTTTAAAAAATTGTTAAGTATATGAAAAGAAATATTAATAAGACTTAAGAAAGTGCAGTTTTTATTGAAAACCATGATGTGTGTGTCACAGATTAGATTGAAACCCATGAAAACTTACAGCTCTGAAATTCTCACGTTTCATTACTTAACACCTAATGTTACTGTAATATTTGAAAACGAGATGCTCTGGTTTAGTTCTTAGTGTTTGACAACTCGAGTGTCTAACTCAGTATTACTATGCTTACCAGAGACAGGATTGATTTTCCAGCCAGGCAAATAAGGAAAGTGTACAGAACTCAGAGGTTTAACTGAAGAGTTACCAAAGTTTCCAAACACGATGTCACTCCACCCATACGTAGATGGTCAGAGAAACATAAAACCTACAAGACCCCGAGGCAAACCTAATCAACTTGTATTGACGACGTTTGTCTCAAGTTTTTCCTTTCTAGCAGCAACCTATGACCCAAGTGAATCCAAGTTGCTGGGTTTAAGCGAAACAGCCTTTAAAAGCGATGCATTCTTTGTGAGCTCTACCGAGAAACAGTACCTCTTTCAGACTCTCCTTACAGAGCGGACACTGAGGAGCATAGTCTAAACACCGTTCCAAGCACCCTTTGCAAAAAGTATGTCCACAAGGGGTTGTCACTGGCTCAAAGAATAGCCTGAAAGAAAATTATTACAAGTTAGACACTGCGGCAAGCGTGTGCTTTGCTAAAAAAAGTCAGTAAGCAACCTCTCAAATTTTTAAAGAATAGTTACACCATAACAAAGCAGAGAAAATGAATCCCGTCGGCTTATTTTACCTTTTGCCCTACACTGCTGTTTGTTTCCATTGTCCACCCCACCACTCTTCTTTTTTTTTTAATGTTTTCTGATGAATCTGTACACATTTCAACACTCTAAATATCTAAACGCTTATCCCACTGTACAAAGATTCTGGTCTCGCTACATCGAATACTAAAAATTAAGTGATTCTTTGTGGAGTACAGTTGTTTCAATAACAGTATTACACACTAGTAACCTAACTACGGAGAATTTTGTGTACACCATACACGTTAAGGCATTTATTCTTACCACCAAGTCGGGTCATTAAGAGCTTTCAAATACATCGGCCACATTTAAGTGGAGTAACATTCTGAAGTATCTGTATCTCCCAGACCCATGCTAGGTTCACAGGGAATACTTCTAAGCATCAGCCTTCCCAAAATAAGCTACAGTTATACTGACTGAAAAAATCCCTAACATTTAAGTGCAAAAGATCCTGTCCTTTTTAGGTTACCAGTTAATGCCAAGTTTAAATTAAAAGGCAGCTTGATTAAAATAATGCTGTGTTATTTAAACGTGTCACTTGCTGTAGTGCTACATAAGCATTTGACTCTAGGGATAGAGGAAGGCTGAAAATTAGGGACTGACATCAGAACTCATCACAACCTGTAAATATCTCAGCTTAGATGTGTAACAGGTATGTGACCAAGCATCGATAATGCAAATGTCGACTCAAGGAGGAAGTCTTACCTCATACATAGAGAGCACTCAAAATCCGATACATCAATCAAATTCCCTGGAATTGTTCCAAAAGCCAGTGTCGTGTCTCTTTTCGTACTATCTGAGAAAAAGAAAGCCAAAATACTCCTTCAAAGACAGGCACAAGACAGTAAATACTTTAAATTTCAAAGGAAGTGACTGTTTACCTCCTTGCTTTTTGTGTTTGTTTCTTCCATCTCCACATACAACTGTGTCTTGTTCTGAAAAGGAAAGCTTTCTTTTCAACAAAGCACCTTTTTCTTGGCCAGAGAGAAGGGGTTCAGAAGACACTCTCTTTAAGCCATCTTCCTTGGCAAGGTCTTTTGTTGAGTTAAGAGCATGGGCAGACTGTGCACGGTTTAAGCTTCCAATGACAGGCTCCGGTACCTCTGATCCTCCTAAACTCTATAATAGTAAGATGAACTGAACTGTACTTAGAGTAACACAAATCTAAGTACATAACATGCAAAGACATAAAAGCCAGACTGATACCCACAGTGAGTTCATTAGTTAAGCAAAGGAATTTGATAAGCCAAGAGTGTATTCAAATTTGCTTCGCATTAACAACTTCAAAATCTTCTCCCCCTCCAAAAAACTGTGTTTCTCTGCATTTTGAGGTCACTATTACCAAATCTCAGTCCTTCTAACTAGTTCACTAGAATGAGAAATCTTAGCATCCAAATTAAAATACATTACTCCCAAAGCACAGTTCTGTTCTTCCAATTTAGCCGACTCCAAAAAGTCAGCATTTAGGCTGGAAAATAAGTATGTCAAATAAAGATACCAAAACATCTGAGGTTTGCCTATCAGCCAAAGCGAAAGGTTATCCCATAGCTTTTGTTACCTGCTCAGGACAAAGCTGTAAGTTGCAGTAAGACTCAGTCACCTCGGAACCAAGTACAAAAGGCTTATTTCGAATATGTGGTGAATTCCAAGTGGGTTCCTTCAGACTCTCTCCTAACTTCTCTGGGGACAGCACATCACACAATGTCTAGAAAACAAACAGCGAAATGTTCATAACAACAAAGCTCTGTCTAGATATTTTTTCATAAAGCTACATACCAAAAATAAGAATCTGTATGAAGTTATTCTCATACATAGAGCTCTATTTAAGCAGTAACTGAGAAAGGACAGTTGAGAACAAGCAGAAACCTACATACCTATATTACTAAACAGAAATTTAACTAGAAATCTTTTCTGCTACAAGTGAGTGAGCTCTTTGAGCAGAGTTAGACATTATAAAAATTTACATTGAAAAAGCAGCATTGAGTGTTGTGCTCTGAGCACAAAAGAGTTCAACTCTGAATATTTAACTTGATGACTGCTTTCCCCTTTTCTAGATTTTCATTTCATAACTTCAAAAGCACAAGCACTTTGAAACACACACTTCCAACTTGCACATTAGGACTATCCCTTCAACATGGTATGACAGATCTTGAAAGGAACCAGGTCTGCCACCTCAACCTTCTCTGTACGTACTGAAGATATTTAGATGCTCAAAGTCTGACGTAACGGGAGCTTTCTAAAGGAAGCAAGTCAGAGATAGCAATCCAGTTTCATAAATAGAATTACCCTTTCGACTTCTAGCTTGGCTGGAAGAAAGTCCTCATCAAGTGCTAAGCACTGTAGAAACAGTTGTAAGGCATCACCTACAAAGCCAGAGTCTTGCAGCACTTTTCCTTTCCGGAAGTAAACCTGAAAAACAGATATCATGAAAACATTTCTAGAGAGTTCGCAGAACTGCAGTATTCATCTTACAGGTGCTACAAGAGTTAGAATTAGAGCCCGCCATGACAAAAACGACGTAGCTCTCCCACAGACTTCAGCTGTGCACAGTGCGGATGACCTGTATGCCCTGTCTAACACACATCTCCTATGGTGTTTGAAAAGAGCCATGGGACAGGCTGGTGGTGGTAGTCTCCTTCCAGTTAATTTGTTCTGGTTTACATGAAGGTTTAAAAACCTAACTGGTGCTGAATTCACAGAAAGCCTTGATTTCCCCTTTCTGTGAGCTTTTGGAGGCAAAGAAGGGGACATGCAATGCAAATTATTATATAACCTCATACAACAGCTTACAGAATCTTTTTGCACTGCCTCATTAAAAGCCTTACAGTTCCAGCCTGCAGGAGAAAGGTACCTACAAAGAAAACAATCCACACAACCATGCATCCCTTACATATACACCTGAATCTATTTTCTTAACACTAAACAATGCATTTTTGGAATTACTTCCTCCAACCGTATTTTATTCTTGAAAACTAGACAGCACCTAGGAAAAAAATAATCTGTTTACTGTGAAAAAGGGGGAGAAAAGACTACTGAATTTTGTTCAAAGTGCCTTATCCAACTTACCTCTATTGTAAAAAGTTGCATTTGCAGTAATATAAATACAAGTTAGATAAAGAAAACTGTTAGCTAACAAAAGTTAGATAAAAAACCAGCATCTAGTTGTATATGAGGTTTTAGATAATGGGCCAGAAAAATTAATTTCAAAAAATCCAAACCAAAAACATACCCTCAACATCAGAAGGATATAGACCAGTTGGAGCGAGTCCAGAGGAGGCCATGAAGATGCTCCGAGGGCTGGAGCCCCTCTGCTATGGGGACAGGCTGAGAGAGTTGGGCTTGTTCAGCCTGGAGAAGAGAAGGCTCCGGGGAGACCTTATTGGAGCCTTCCAGTACCTGAAGGGGCTACAAGGAAGCTGGGGGGGACTTTTTACAAGGGTCTGTAGTGACAGGACAAGGGGTAACGGGTTTAAATTGGAAGTGGGGAGGTTTAGATTGGATATCAGGAAGAAGTTCTTCTCGGAGAGGGTGGTGAGGCACTGGGACAGGTTGCCCAGAGAAGCTGTGGATGCCCCATCCCTGGAAGTGTTCAAGGCCAGGCTGGATGAGGCTTGGAGCAACCTGGTCTAGTGGAAGGTGTCCCTGCCCATGGCTGGGGGGTTGGAACTAGATGGTCTTTAAGGTCCCTTCCAACCCAAACCGTTCTATGATTCTATAAAAAAAACCCAGAGCGCCGTTTCTACGGAATGACTGCCAGTGTTAACAGTAGAGCCTGTTAAACAAGGCTCTCAAATGAGGACATGCATCATCTTTGATGGATTTGGGCAATTTCCTTAAGATGTATCCTGAAGAAGAAAAGTATGCCAATCCTCCTCTTACAGTCAGTTTATTTTCCTACAGAGACAATACTTGTTAGAGGAATCCATCAAACCAAGCTCAGTTAAGTGAAGCGAGGTTTCTTTCCAAACCTCACATAGAAAAAAGTAGACAGTACTACCAATGCCGAGAGGTGAAAAGCAGCACGCTCTCCGAATCTGCAATAGCCATGGAACTGCTGAGCACAAGAGAGACCAAGACAGCAGCAGTTATCTCCCCTTGCGTGGCAAGATCTTGCCGCTCTTTAGAAAGCGCTCCAGTATGCGGTATCTTACGGTTGAGAAGGCCAGTGACCCTCCAGCCGCCTGCACTATTTGCACTCCCACTGACTTTCTTTGGGCTTTTCGAAGGAAAGTTTTCCAAGCTGAAACAGCAAAGTGCCCCTCTCTTAATAAAAATTAAGAGATAAACAAAACAAACCCCAGCTGTTACAGGTTACATCACCATCAACTATCCCAGCTCCAAGTACTGTAGCCACTAAAAAGGCCCCAAACACATGCTGGCATTTTTTAGCCAACACTATTGCAAGGGAATTTATTGCTTGTGCTATGTATTTTTTTGACTCTTTGGTAGCATTTGGAAAAGAAAACTTTGTTGCCCTATTTATACAGCAAACTGTTTTACCAATAAAACTCAAAAACTATGAGAGAAATGTTGACTGAACATAGAGCCAAGAATTCTAGTCCTGACTGGCAACAGGGCTCGCTCATCTCACGATAGTCTCAAGGAACAGATGCTGTTTAAAATACTCCGACTTTGGGAAATACTATCAAAGTGTAACACCTCAGGGAAGTGCAGAGCTTTAGAAGGACTAACTTGCACACAGCATAAATTTTAAAACTCAGTTACATCAACCTACCAAACGTACAGGCCTCAGAAGTTCTGCTTTTAAGCAACTATAGCTGCGCGCACAACTGCGACCAACCAACCGGTCAAATAACGTTAAAATGAAATTAAGTTTGTACGTATTTAATAACTTCTAAGAGAAGACATAGAAGTGTTCTTATAAAGAAATAATCACTAACAAGTATTTACAGACACCACAAAAGTACCTCATAATAGCTGCCAAGAGTCAGTTCTACTGCCCTTAACCCTTCACCCAAAGACACCGCCACCTCACGTTGCGATGGGAAATAAAAATACCTGAAGCTTTTCATGAAGGCTAAATTAACAGTTCCGAGGATATTGTCCAATCAACTCTAACCTGCCACACCCATCAGCAGCCTGCCTCATACAGGCAACTCTTTTAAGATACCTTTTAGCACTTTCCATGCCCTACAAGATAACATTGAAGGTAGCTGGCCTAGGTTCTTAACTTGGTGCAGGTATAATTTAGAATTCATGCATTTTATAAACACAAAAGTTGAAAAATTAAAGAGTTCATATCGACTTACCTCTGGCCAATTTGGCATTTTAGAAATAACAAAATTTAGGTCATCTATGGCTGTTTTATATTCTTGGAGGCCAACGTATGACTCCGCCCTGTAAATTCTTAGCATCAAGTCACCCGAATCTGAAAACAAAAATTCAGTAACATTATTAGTAATTCATAAATTTGTTATTTTTAATTAGATATGCTTTCATAGTGATACATCAAGCACACTTTTTTGTGAACATAGAGCGTTTTGCACTTTCAGTAAAGCAGCCTCTAAATGGGTAGCACATCCATCTGTGTCACTAAAACTGGTTTTTCGAAGACAACCAACAGCAGTTGTTGCCTGGAAAAAATCTCCAGCATGCTAGTAATTCATAAATTTGTTATTTTTAATTAGATATGCTTTCATAGTGATACATCAAGCACACTTTTTTGTGAACATAGAGCGTTTTGCACTTTCAGTAAAGCAGCCTCTAAATGGGTAGCACATCCATCTGTGTCACTAAAACTGGTTTTTCGAAGACAACCAACAGCAGTTGTTGCCTGGAAAAAATCTCCAGCATGCTACTTTTTGCCCCTCTAAATGGGTAGCACATCCATCTCTGTCACTAAAACTGGTTTTTCTAAGACAACCAACAGCAGTTTTTGCCTGGAAAAAATCTCCAGCACGCTACCTTGTGCTTTTTTTTTTTTAATACACCTGTGTTTTTCACTTTTTGCCTTTTTTTTTTTTTAAAAACACCTGTGTTTTTCATTGAGTGAGGTAAACAAGTCAAACATTGATCTATTGTAAACAATACTACAATATTTCTTTAAGTTTGTTTCAACAAGATTTTTTTGGGGAGGGGATCAATTTCAATTTGATATTCTATCTTTCTCTACTCGAAATGTCTGGTTTAAATTTTCATAATTCCAACATTGGCTTGTCTTACATTTAAAAGCCAGACTGGTCAACGTCCCCATGTATTCCAACACATTACTTTGTATTTAGATCCACAACACTACATGTAAAAAGACCTTAATCAAAAAGGAAGGGTTAAGAAAAATCAAAACTGACATTTCACAGCTGAAACTAAAGTGTTGCTTTGGAGCTGACAGTTTCCATTCAAATACAGATATTCCCAAACCTGGCTTGTTTGAGATTTATTTTATTTTAGACAAAATGCTTATATTAACACAAGTCTGGGCAATTGTCTCTCTCTAGCTTAAATGGGTCATTCTGCAAGCAGAACAACCCTGAAGCCTGCCTTCCTGTGCCTGTTTTGTGACTGGTACAGCCCAGCAAGGCAGGAGCTCAGCTCTAACTCTTCAGACTGCTTCTTCTGTTATACTTGACTCTTTGGTCAAGTCAGTACCAAGTCAAATTATTTTCTTCAGGGGTAGTAGTACGTGCAGGTCTTTGTCCTCTGCCAAACTCCCTATTCCCACATCATCAGAGGGAGCTCATCTTTTTCAGACTGTCAAGAGTAGAAGACGACTGAAGGAACTCCCAGCCTTCCCTTCTGGGGGGAGGGTGAGGGATAGTTTGAAGATCAAAACGTGAATTAAAGTCTATAGCAGGTGGATATTTTGCACAATTGTTCTTCAAAGAGGAAAGCACGGTTCCAATTGAACTGGTACAAAACAAGGAACTGGGGCCTTACCTCTGCTGCTGAAGACACAAACACTGCCAATGAATGATCAATACAAAACACAAATTGGGTTTAAACATTTGCAAGACCAAAAGATCTAAATTTGTATGTTCAATTTTCCAACCCTAATTTAATTTCTAAGTTTTGTAATTGCGAAAACATTGTTTTGCAATGTTTCAGCACGTATTTTAAATGTTGGTCACCTAAAAGGAGGATGCAAAACTATTGCAAATCCTTAGACAAAAAGGCTAAACAGAGCAGAAACACAACCTGTGCTTGAATTTAATTTCAGGAACCCAAGATACTGTAAATATAGAAATCTAGCATAGCCAAAGACAAATGATTTCAGTGAAAAAGACACCAAGTGCTTTCAGTGCAGAACTGTGCGTACCAGTTATTACTACATTCACAGGAATGTATACAAAGGTGCACACACAAAAAAACATGCATTTCTGTTTTTATAGTACTTCCAAAGCCTCTGCTCCTGGTTACTGTCAGCATAAGCATACCAATGAATGGACCATCTCTGGTCTGACCCTGCGTGCTTTTCAGATAAGTCTTAAAAATACACCAAACTCTTCAAAATAAGACATGCACATCACCACCACTATGCAGTAAAACATCAGGATGCAGTATTTATTAATGAGTACAATAAAGTCACCCCATGATCAGGGGTTCAAATATCAGAAGAGGCTGAGAGAACTGGGCTTGTTCAGTGGAAAACAATTCCCGAAGGCCTTGGGGAAAACCCAACAGCCTTCCAGAACCCAAGAGGTGGCCAACTAGAAGACTTTTTACTGAAGTGCGTGGGGGAAAAAACTAGAGACAGTGGTTATAAACGGAAATAAGGGCAGTTCTGACTAAGATTTTTCACAGATTCATAGGATGGTTTGGGTTGGAAGGGACCTTAAAGATCATCTAGTCCCAACCA